GCATACCTGTAGATTTTATTTTTGTGGAGGTAGCCAATCTTTAAATGGAGCTAGACTATGCCACATTCACATACCCAGAGCCCGCCTTATACACACGATCATCAACAGAGCATGACAAGGACGCGGTGTACGAGAATGGGTTTGCCTCAACAGTCAACTGCAGATCAAAATTTAGCCTCTGAACGAGAGCAAAATGCCAAGTGTGTCAATGTCCTGTTTATGCGCATATTCTGGATATTTCAGTCTTATTTAATACAGCGGAATATAGAAGTGCATTCTGAGAGTTCTTGCAGTTATTCCAGTTAGTCAGTAACTCCTGGCTTAGATAACAAGCTCCAAATGATTTTTGGAGTTAGCAACACAGCAAGTAACTTCAACCTTACATGTATGTACCTAGCGGCTATATGCTGACTCGCCTCGCTATACACATACTTTTTGGAGTTAGGCAGTAACTCGAGGCTTAAATACCTTGTTTTTTCATGATTTTTGGAGTTATATGTAGCTCTAAATGATTATTGGAGTAAGCCAGTAACTCCAGCCTTAGATGCCTAGCTCCTAAATGATTTTTGCAGTTGTATACTTATATAGCTCCAAATCATTTTTGGAGTTAGCCAGTAACTCCAGAATTCATATTTCAACTCTTGAATTACACATTTACACAAGTTACTCAAGTGTATATTTTGGTTTGGAGTTAGCCCTTTAGAGCTTGGAGGTAGCGTCGCTCCATAACTTCCTACTTTCTACAGGCATGGTGTGATGGTATTGATAATGTTGCTGGTGGTTGGTGTGGTACGGATGGTAGTTGATCATTGTGGTGGTGAATGGTGATGGGTGTGATGGTATTGATGATGGTATTGATGATGGTGGGTGTGGTAGTGAATGGCAATGGTGGTGATTGGTGGTGGCGGCGATGTATTGATGATGGTGGGTGTGGTAGCAGATGATGGTGGTTGGTGGTGATATAGTGGATGACAATGGTGGTGGTTGGTGGTGATGTGGGTGTGATAGTGGATGATGGTGGTGGTGAGTGTGATGGTTTTGATGATTCTGCAGCAATATCACCATAACCAACAATACTACTCCTGTAATGAGCTAAGTGACACGCAAATGATGGTATTTCAAGAAATGATTGTGCTGGGTGTAATGGTTTCATAAGGGGCGGACCATTAGAAAAAGTGATGGGGAGGGGGGGGGGGGCAAAAGCAAAAATAAAAATCGAGCAGGGGAAACAAAAAAAAAAAATTCGTGCAGAGACTTTTCAATAGGGAAAATTATAAGTTGGCAGGGCCTATCTGAGGTACAGTGTAAGGAAAATAAAAGGAAAATAATTTTGAACTTTTTTTATATAAGTAATGGTGTGATAAAATTTTCTAAACCTAAATGTAGCGGATATTGGTGCAAAAAAGTGTTTTAATCATGTTTTAAGAAGTTTTTTCCGGGAAAATGAGTTTCAAACCCTAACTAAGGTGATATTAGTCTGGAAAACATTTTTTGACCCTTTTTTTTCTTTGTCCTGAAAAAATTTTTAGTCCAGAAAGCCCCTGCTCGCCAACAATTTTTTGGGGAAAAAAATCAAGAAAGGGATTATAAAAAAAAAATCGACACTGCAAAAAATTTTGAAAAAATAATCGTGCACGTTGGAAAATGGACCCCCCCCCATCACTTTTTTAATGGTCCGCCCCTAAAGAAGATAGTGGTGCTGGTAATGGTGGTGGTGCTGGTAGAGGTTGTAGCAATGGTGATGGACCATCATGATCATGATTATGAAGAAGATAATGTCACCATGGTAGTGGTGATAACCATAACCTATCTCTTACCATATCAAATATTTATGCTTCTGATAAAATCCATCCTTAGCTAAACCAAACGACACATTCAAACCATATATTTTATAGAGTTCATGCATTGCGACCTCACCGATATTCCAAGACCTATTAACAACATTCTCAACACCACCTTCCAAAGCTTTAGTTTGATACTTTCTTCCAAGCTCAGCTTTGGTATATGCAATAGGTTTCCATTGTGAATATGCCTTGCCATATTTGCCCCCAACTTTACCATAAACAGTTTTAAAAACAGCAGGCGTATATTCGTCATCGAAGTTTTTTTCCGTCGTAATGTCGGGCTTATAACCCTCGTCAACGATGTAGTTTATTTCAACGGCGAATCTTGTGCTATTGGTGGAAACATTCATACGGTTTAATGTGAGTGAGAATCTGTTGCTGTCAGCAGTGTATTTTTGATGGGGCAATTCTGATTCACGATCTTCTGAATGTGAGGCTATAAACTAAAAATAAACACAGAGTATATTTTATATTATATAGGGTGAATTGCACTTGACTTTTCATTTCATTTCAAGTCTCGAACTTGACTTTTCATTTCATTTCAAGAACATAACAAAACTTTTGGCTGACAAGGGTTGGATCTATCGTGAGGGTACAAGGGGGGGGGGGAGGGGGGGAGGTGCACCCACCTAGTGGTGTCTAACACCCCCCAAGAGAAGTCTACCACCACCCAAAAAAACCTGCTCGACTATTGATATTCTGCTTTTCGAATAGCGATTAGTGGAACTGTTAGCATGTGATTTATTAGCATATTGAAACAATTTAATTAATTGATTTGTGAGCTCCTGAGAAAATACTCAGAATGCTTCAGTTAAATATCATCAGGGTTAAATATGTAAAGGTTGTTATACAGCCATATTTTCAAACATACCGTACTTTAACCCTTTAATTAAGTGGCAATGCGTCCTGATGCGCCCTATTTTATCATTTTATTCTGTCTAACGCCAGATAGGGGGAGAGTGCCGCCACTCAATGGGTTAACAAGTACATAATAATATACATAATAAAAAGCCGATATAAACTTTATAAACAAACAGGGCTGCAAATTACTGTCAGAAATCGGACAGTGTCCGACTAAATTTGACAAATGTCCGAGCAAAAGTAATTTTGATCGGACATTGGTCCGACCACAAAAAAATTGTCACATTATACATTTTTTTGCTGTGACAAAATCCGATTGCAAATTCACTCAATTTGCATTTTGCAATAAGGCATTCTAGCATTTTACTTAAAGTTGCGTCGGAATGGCTATACAAACTTGTCTCGTGACTTATATATATCTTGTGACGTATATATGTCCGACCAAATTTAGTGGTGTTGGTTTTTATCCGACCAAATTCAAGTTATTTCCGACCAAAATTAAAAGTGATCAGACAAATGTCCTGTCAAGTCAAATATTTATTTGCAGCCCTGAACAAAAGATAAATAAAATTGTAAAACATAACAGGACAGTGAACATGCATATTCGGCCATCTCAAATAATGGTAATGTTGGGATAGCAGCATTGCAGACTGCAGAGGAGAGTGGGCAGTAAGGCTCCCTCATGCACCACCCCCATGGAAAACCTGCACCCCTCCTTGCAGATCTATGAGGCTAGATCCGCAGCTGTGGCGAACAACTAAATTCCGGCCAAATTTAAAAACACACACGATTCATACCTTAAAAATGATCGAATCATGTGCCGTATACGTAACTTGTGCTGTAGAGTTATCAAAATCCACTTGCCACTTTGTACTCTCCGTAAATTCATGAACGACCATGTAGGTATTGTCATTCAAGTCAACATTATCATCATCGTCATCATATTCATATATCCGCGGGATCGCAAAACCAAATGTATATTCGACGGCAGGTTCAAATCTTAACCCCAACATACGAGAACTATCGTTTGTCAATTTTGACCAGTCTACTAGAAGTTCGACATCTTGTAATGTTGTGTACGCTACGACAATTGTAGGAACAGGGTATGTTGTCCACAGGTAGTGAATGGTCGAGTTGTTGTCAGTTGTATTAGCCTTGACCCAAATGATACTTGAATCATGAGTGCAATTTGATGTTGGGCATGGAAAAACTTTTGTGAATAACTATGATATAAATAATGTATATGATTTAATTGTGTACTGAGTTTCTCACTCATTGGCAGGTTTTTTTTTAGGATTTTCTCTTGGGTCCGTTTTTGCAGAGAAGATTGAGTTTAGCTGAACAGCTGGGGTGGCTGCATCCCCCCCCCCCTACCGGTGGCTGACACTTGTACTCAATAAATGTAGTTGACACTGAATGTGTTAAAGCAGGGGCACTGAGGGACGAGCCGAGAGACACTATAAACTAGTTAAAGATGGCGAATGCATAGTTTTTCTTGTGTTGTGACATGAATTCCAGCCATTTTTTCTTAATTGTCGAGTTTTCAACTGAAAGCTAATTTCCACACGTCACAAATTTAACTCAAACAACTTCATTTTTACTGCACCGAAACTTTGGTGAGAAGATTGAGTTTCAAAACTCAATTCAAGATTGAGTTTTTGGGGCCGTTTAACGGCCTTAAAAAATCCCTGAAAAAAACCCTGACTGGTGAGCGGATTTCCCAACAGACTGTATCCTTACTGATGTCAATGTAAAGGTAGCACTTTCTCCTCAATTATTTTAAGACCTTGAGTAGAGGTCCGGCCAAGGATTGAACTCGGATCTCCCAGCTTGAAAGTCCTAGGTTAATGCCCAATTCCACCCAGGAAATTTTCCACAGAAAGAAAATTTTGTAAAAATTTTCTGTAGGGAAAAAATTTTGAAGTTGAAAATTTTCAGAGCCTTAAATATATTTCCTACGCAAAGTGAAATCAGGCTCTACTCTCAGGCCAAATAAAAATAATAGTTGGTTTCAGGTTTCACAGTCATGTTTTATGTGGGTAGGACTAGGTCGGAAAAACATTTTATTTAAAAAAATATTTTATCTCAAGTATACAATAACAGGATCACCCACAAGCTACATGTGTTTCGCAAGAAACAAATGCATCAAGGCGTTTTTGTCTCTTTTTCAGCCGTAGCTGCAATGTCAGAATAATGTACGTTTTTAATATTTTATTCAACTGTTCTTTGTGTAAAACTATGATTAACATGACTAGATAATGATTAAATTATAAGAGACAAATGTCTACAGACAAATGAGTCTGATGACTACTTATATATTCTGTTATTTACGAAAAGATGATCTCTATTGGGAAATGCCAATGGGAAATGCCCACGGAGGAAATGGGAAGTTAACCCCCTACCTCCTTCGGATGTCCTAATACATTTACTATTATCAGAAACAATTTTTTTTCCCCTCCCCCTCCAGATGGCAGAAATTTCCTCCGTGAGGGGAGTATGGATCTTTTCTGGAACGACCCAATAAAATGTTTATGGTTGGTCATATTTTTGACAGGTCGGTCGGGAACCTGAAACCAACTATTATTTTTATTTGGCCTCAGGGTACTTTTAACAATGATATTTTCGGAAAATTTTCTGTCCGTGAAAATTTTTCTTGAGTGGAAATGGTACTATTTATAGTATACCAAGATCCCGGATCAGTCGAGCCTGGATCCCAGTAAGGCAGTAACCCAGTTAGGCATGTACTAGCTTGGTTTCATATTAGTCACATAGACAGAAATATAACAAATGTCGGTAACCGGGTTGGCTCGTCTCCATATAAACAGACCCTATAAAACACATCTGATTACCAAATAGCTATACGCCATATTAGAAATCATGGTGTCACACTCACTCACACAGTCACACTGACCTTTCGATTTCCATCAACAGAAACTAACATTACAACGAAGAAACAGACACACAATAACGCCCAAAAGCTGCGTTGTGAACCCATGGTGAATCAGACAAAATTTCTTTAACTTTTATCTCATTTTTGCTGCACTATATTAAAAAAACCTAACTAAGTTTACACAAAATTGGCAGCCATTGCAAGTCATATGATTGCAAAATTCTGTGACGAATTTCGCAAAATTTCTTTCTTTTCCGGCTTTTAACGCGATACCCGATTGGTTATCTGAATGAAACACCCAATTTCATTGGTTACATCTCCCAGCCTTTTAATTGGTCCACCAATCTGGATTATCCAATGAAATTAACGGAAATTCATTAGGGCCCATGCCTTGCTCGGTCCAACCTTGACATGCGCTATTTGTGTTCTTCTTCAAATTGTGGGAAAGAGGATTTATTTCGATTTAAATTTAAATAAATATAAAATAAACCGCGATTATCGATCGAGATTTCTCCTCACGTCCTTGTAAAGAACATGACTGATACTGCAACACCGACGGGACAAAATCCCGCAGAAGAAAAGCCCAGCGAAGTAAGGGTTTGGAAAATTTCGACCAGTAGAAATAACCGTTGCAAAATATTGATAAAAAGCATGTACACTTGTGTGTTGTATTTACATATTATTTATGTTTTATTTTAGCTGTCCGAAGAGGAGAAATTGAAGTCAAAGTATCCCGGAGGATTAAAGAAAAATTTTGCACAATCAAGGCTTCGAAATCGTGGAGGGGTAAGCTATTTCAAAAGCAAAACAATTTTACAAATATTCAAATCTTGACTGAGTTGACTCAGATTTTTTGTGTGAGATTGATAAACACACTACAAATACTTGTAAACTCTTGTATCTGTAAAAATAAAACTGTATAAGCTGTTTGATATTAAACTCGATTTCAGTTTAAAAAGTATTAAATAATCTCTTACACAATTTGAAATATATGGATAGACATGAGTAGTTGTGATATAAAAAAGTTGGTCATCTGGTAAGAATCTATCTTGCAATTGGGGTTGAATGTTCGGAGCTACAGAGTCCAGAACCAATTACATCAATTTTATACGCCATCAAAAAATGCTATAATTTCCAAATTACATGCCATCAAAAACGTGCCATCAAATCCGTCTGTAGTAACGCCGGTATGGTAATTAGATTACCCAATTAGCTAATTAATTTCCCAGATTTGACGGAAGAGAAGATGGGTGTGAAATTCATTAGAATAACAACATATATAAATTATCTATGTTAGTCAGTTGACGTTTATTCACAAATCTGGTCCTTCGCCGTCATGTGTGTATTGTATTTTTGCCAAACTCACCAATAGCACTTTCCTAAAACATTGTTGTTGGTTAGTTGGGCAAAAATACAATATGCACTTGACAGTGAAGGACCAGATTTATGAAATGGGTTATATTGTTATTCTGATGAGTTTCACAGCCATCTTCCCTTCGATATAGGCTATGGACAGTCACAGATTATTATCTTGAACAATCTGTGACAGTGAACACCACTTGGTCAAACATCCACATAATATTACTTCTTGTATTCAAAACTGGAAATAATATTGTCTTCACGAAGCTCTAGCAAAAAGTTTAAAGAAAATTACAAGTGTATGTTTGTCTTGACACAAGGAAAAAACAGTGACATTCCCTGCATTATAGTTTCAGCTGTTTCCTTATAGTAAATGCTTTTCTTTTCCAGTATTTACTGCTACTATTTTGGCAGACATTTTTCCGTATACTTGCGCGTGCGCTTTACATGCCACTCTGTGGATATATTGTCATTTGTCAACATATATTTATTATTTATTATTATTAACCATTAAGTTGCAGAGCTTCCCCACTGACGGGTAAAATCGTCTGGTGTTAGACAAGTAAATATAAGTTGGGCGCACTGTGGCTCATTGCGGCTCAATGGGTTAACTAGAGACGCTGTCAGATTTTTTGGTCAACCCATTACTGTCGTTCCAATTGAAGTGTTGCTCAAATATTGATTCAATACATTACCTCGGGCTGACCAATTCATTTGATCAAGTTCCTCGAGATATTCATACACTTCCTGTGAAAGAGCCAATTCCAAGTATTTGATCATTTCTGGTCACTTCCTTTCTATTTATGATTGGTTAGTTGCACAAACAACAAAGGTGATTGGTGCATTCAAACTATTCAACAGGAAGTGTACAATTATACTAGGAAGTGTATGAATATCTCGAGGAACTTGATGAAATGAATTTGTCAGCCCGAGGTAATGTATTGAATCAATATTTGAGCAATACTTCAATTGGAACGACATTAAGCCGTAGAGTTTCCCCACTGACAAGTAAAATCATCAGGTGTTAGGCAAGTAAAAAAATAAGTGGGGCGCATTGCGGCTCAATGGGTTAAGCAGCAATGCTCCCTGATGCACCCTTCATGGAATACGGAGCATACATACATATGATAATTTACTCTATATGTCTAATGGCAGACAATTTTACTTGTAAGGAAGAGTGTTGCCACTCAATGAGTTAATGCATTAAAATAACTTGATATGATTGTGTTTTTTTTCAAGGTGAAATACTTTGATTCTGGCGATTATCAAATGGCCAAGACAAGCAACAAGAGACCTCTAGCCGGACTTGGAGCAGCTATTCCAAAACCCGAAAACATCCCTCACCGAAAGGAGTCCGTCCCAAGTAAATTGGCCAGCCCAACGTCCGTCAGCGTTCAAGATTGAATTGATATCCCGATTATTTGAAGCAATGAGAAACTTCGTGTTCATTGAATGTATATTACAGGAATTATTTAGCAATGGGTTCTTCTCTTTGGCACAATTAACGTTTCTGGGATTTCGGCTTTATATGACAATTTATTTTCATACTAACTTATTGCAAAGAATTAGGACGAAGACGGACTTATTGTATGTGTATATATAACTTAATATGCTAACCTTAGATTCTGGCACTTTGCCTTTAGAAACACTAACAAAAATAGCAGTTCTTGCAAGGATATAAGCCTTGTAGGATAATTACAAACACTAGTACCAGTTTACAGAAAAAAGATGAAGTCATCTAGTAGGGATGTGCCAGATATTGCAGCTATGGATATTGCAACCGTGAAACCATCTGTTTTCCGTTAAAGGGCATATGACTCGAAAATTGACGTTGTTATTAATATTTTTTAGTCTAATTTGAAAGTTCATTGAAAACTGTAGAGTAACTTCTTTGATAGATTTTTGTTTTCTCGCTTCGTTTTGAAGATATTTTATTTTTTATGATATGCAAAGCACCAACTTCCTACGTCACATATACGCATAATGATCTAGCCCTAATAGCTGTATATCTTTAATACGACTAAACACAATCTGTAGAAAACCTACATGGGTTTTGTTGTTGACTAATCTCATGCTCGTCATTCATTTTGAGCGAATTTATTTGATAGTGACAACATTTATATATAACATTTTAAAGTAAGTCATTATGCCTTTGTGATATAGAAAGTTGGTCCTTTGCATATCACAAAATGAAATATCTCCAAAACGAGGCAAGAAAACAAAAATTTGTCAAAGAAGTTACTCTACAGTTTTCAATGATCTTTCAAATTTTCGAGTCATATATGCCCTTTAAGATATTGTGAAACACTAAAAACTAGTCTACCGGACATGCGACACATTAAAACAAAATACCAGTTAAGTTTTTTTGTGATGTAAAATGCTCTCTGCTGTATATTCTCTGACGATCATTGTGCCACATGCTAAACAGACAATGGACTATTTTATGACAAAATGTCAGTGACGTATTGTCCAATTAGTACCACGATCAGTATCTGGTTATTATCTGGTAGACTACAATCCAGTACCATCCGGTTATACAGCGAAGCAGTAACCGGCACATCCCTATGATCTAGTTACAGTGTTGACAACCAATTCTATTTGGGGTTCTGCATGACCCATCTATGGTATTCCCTTGAAAATTTGTAATAATTTCATAGGAGGCTAAAGATATTTTCTGCCATCCTTGTGTGTTTTCGTAAGTAACATGAGCAGCAAAATTATTGCAACAAAACTCCATTTCAACACATGTTAATTAAAAATGTTCATGCTAATTAGTGCCTAATTAATCGCCCGAACATTTTCAAATAACAGTTTCTGTGATCACAGTAGGAATTTTGCGTAGGGAAATTCTAAGTTTTGAAGGATTTGTTAGAAATGTTTGAGGGACTGACTTGATGTCAAACACCGAGTCGGTTTCCCAAATATTTCTTACAAAAATCCTTCAAAACTTAGAATTTACCAATGCAATATTCCTAATGTCACAGAAACTTTGATAGCAATTTAGTTGAGTGTAAAAATTCATTGAAGATTTAACTATATAGCCATAGTATTAATATTAGTATATGTATTGTGAATAAGCTTGATAGCCTTACTCTCTCCAGTTATTATAGGGCTCAGTGGCCCTAGATGTCACCCTCAGTACCTGTGGCTGATGTTTTTGAGGAAATTGCTTATAAGAATACTAATAGCCATAACATGTAAATTATTAATCTTATGTCAAAAAATCTTGCACAAAAATTCACTTAGATTGTGTAAGCAGGCAAAGTACAACATGTCAATATAGCACTTGTTCAAATAAAGCTTTTAAAAGAATGATGATGTGTGCACTTTTCTATCTTACTTCAGGGCCATAGCAACCGGGGGGGGGGCTGCAGCCCCCCCCCCCAATAATTTGCTAATAATCATTCTTTTTTCAAAATCATGCAAACTTTATCATTTAATCTGTGAC